TAGGTTAGGAATTTCACATTTCACTCACTGATTACCAATGGCATACTTGGCACTGATATCAGTTATTATCCACTGGTTCAGATTTAGAGAGTAATAAACTATTGCTAACATCTTGTTTTGTATTAAATACAAAGTAACTAATTTTGCTTAATAAAGCTCTTGAATTTAACGCGGCGCCTGCGCATTTGAACGATTGAACATCTACTATCCTTCTATGTTTCTTCTTGTCGCACTCATATAAACCACGCCCCATTAGCCATATAGTAGTATTACACATATGGGGCAGAGATTTAGAAAGATACTGCCCAACTGCACACACCATGTTATCCCTTCCACCATGGTTAATTCTCATGAAGGGGAAAGGTGTATAAAAAACGGCAAAAATTCAGAGAGCAAACAGACATTTTTGATAAATAAAACATATATTAATTATAATTATAATTGTAATTAAGGGAAGAAATAATACGTTTAATGCAAGTACTAAAAAAATTTTATTTACTTGCAATATTTTATAAATACTTATAGAAAACTAATGGACTTCTCTTTTAATCTTTTTTTAATTACGAACATAATTTATATAAATAATTTATGTCTGATATATTTTTAAATGTAGAACGCATGTTTTTAAAACTACAAAATTTATTAAAATAAAAAAAATGTAATTTGTTGATATTAATAAGCATTTCACAAAGATTGCAAGTCACAATTGAAATAAATCTCAGAATAACAGTTTCCATCGTAGGAAGATACATATAGTAAATTTCCTTAAAATAACTGATAATATTACAAATATTTTTTATGTCCATTTTCTGCAATTTATGTTTATATATTAGATTGTCTCGTTATTGTAATTAAATAATTTATCAATTATAGAGAACATATTAATAATTCATATTTGTTTTTTCTATAAATATATATTTTGCATCCAGAATATTTATATATAAAATAAATCTTATGAAAATTGATCAGATACAGAATATTTTCTTCTTTGCAGAATATTTTCTCCTCTTAATTTTTTCTTTAAAAAAATTAGATAACCTTCTTAAACTCAATTAAGAGAGATACTTAAATCTTACCAGAATATTTATAAAACTTTTTGAATGTATTTAACTGTACTTTGAAAACTTCCTGTAACGGTGTTGGTAATGTACGAGATAAAAAAGCGAGTCCATGCTGATCACAGATGCTAATTAATTGACACAAAGATTCGTGCAAAGCTATCTGCAACAGAAATGATAAACGTAATTAAAAACGATCTATTAAGATAATAATTAGAAGATATCAAATAAGGGAAAGTATCATACTTTCGGCCAAAGCAGAACTTAATAACACTAATATTTATATGTAGATTTACGGTTTTATAAAGTGCACGCTGATTCAGTTTGTCGGACTTATAAAGATATTACCTTAACATAAGATGGTATAGTGCCTTCCACAATTAATTGCAAGAGATCAGCGATAACATAGGGACTTAATCGGACCATAGCTTTCTTCAATTTTACCAGCATGTTTGTCAATCTGAAAGAAAATGTCTATTACTTTCTTATCAAATCAATTTTTTCCATAAATAAATTTTAGAATATGGATCATATCGATACTATAGATATATAATGTTGAACATTTTTTAACTAATTGAATTTACTTTCTGATATCAAGCGCATAACATCTAAATCGATGCTCGTCGAATTTATCGGCTACATTTCTCGATGCATGAACAACGATGTTTATTGTGCGTCTGTATAATATTAATAAATTAGGTAATCTGTCTGTTATCAAATCTGTTTTGACTTTGATCAATGCTTTGCATATAGCAAGTACATCTTCGCACTTTGATATATTCGCTTCATCAAATGACTTTAAACTGATCAGTATAATAAGATCGAC